TATCTCTAATCTCTTTCTCTATTTTAGTAGCTTGTTTAAGTTCCTCCCCTAGCCTCAAGCGGATCCTCTCAACTTGCTGGAGCTCCATCTGCTCCCGGGTGCGTGGAGGTGGCGAGATGGACTGCACGCCCGCCATCTAACTAGAGCCAACTCCTGACGTACTGGAGGCGGACTGCGAGAGGGACCATCCTTGCGGCATGCCGAGGGAGTTTGCAGCAGACGATGCTGCAAAGGTAGCCATTGCTACCGCACTAGCTGCTGCTGCTGCCAATGCTCTCTCCGCAGCTGCTGCTGCTTCTCTTGCAATCTCTAGATTACGGGCCCTAGCTTCGGCCCTTATTCTTCATTTGTCTCTTGGTAGTAGGACCTGGAACACTATGGGTATCCTACCTATGTTCCGTCGTGTCTGCCTCCTATCGTCAGCTGTACCTTCACCCCCGGCTGATCCACTCATCCGCTAGGCAGACGCTGTTTGCACTAGTGTCCTTTCTAGGACCTACCACAACATGYGTCTGATCGGTTTTAAAGATAATTAAAATAAAATAATGTTCGGCGAGTTACCTAGACTACCGGTCAAGCGGTGTCAACAACATCTACACAGACTGCACGCATAGTCTACTTCTATCCTGATTAGTTTTGTACAAAAGCTTTGAGAAGAACTGACTATGGGAGAATATTACAGTCCTACTCTAAGCTGTCTGTTAGGTATCAGCAGTCTGTCAACCAACTAATCAAAATAAAAATAAACTAATGCGAGCACATGTATGCACAATGGGAATGATAGTGTTTGCCAGTTGAGTCCTCAATTGGAATCTCCTTCTCCTATATCCAACGTGCCTGTGAGCATCATCAAGCGGCGGTGTCCAAGGTGTGCATTAACGGCCCACCCCTATGCCCAAGGCGTATGCTTATGACCAGCCTGCCCGTTATTTACCCTTGAGCACAACGAGCCTTACGTCTGACTGATCTGGCTAATCAAGAGGCAATTTAAGGACAGCCCACGAAAGTCCCGAGGAATTATTTAACGTCGCAATCAGGACGACGATCACAGTCAGTGGACAGTTCAGACCCCAACCAGAAATGTTTATAGACGGTCTGGGAGCGTCTATATAGGACTGGTCAGTCCGCACACCCCTTCTATCAGCGCAGCAAAGAGCCTCAACGGACAAAGCAGCATGGCCTGCGTGTACTACTCCCATGGGTTGGCATGGTGACCGTGACCCGTGCTTCGACCAGGGCCCTTCGGAGGCACCGCCCTCTCCTGCCAGATGCGCCACCGGGAAGAATGTCGTCTCTCAAGATAGAGCGCACACGACTCCTCACCAAAGAGAGGACACTCAAGGTTGGACTCACTTCCTCACGGTAAGAAGAGATTAAGAGGGTAGATAAGAAATGGGAACAACGTACTCGGAGATAGCTGCCCTCAACCACAAATTTCTCACCAATTGGGCCAATGTGCATTTCGATGACAGGTCAATAGCCTCGGTACCACCCACGACTCGATGCAGTGCCACCTCAGCCAAAATGCCACATCAGCATGCTCTCATCATCATACATACATCCGATGTCGCCACATCTCCCACGCTGTCACCACAGCCTTCCAGCGGCCGACCCCTCTACCTGGGCCCTGCTCTATAAAGCCAGCGCCAAAGTATCCTTACTGTACCTGAAGCATCATCAGCGCACCAAGTAACAATGTCGCTTGTGCCAGGTAAGCGGCGATCACGACCCGGCTTTGATACCAAATTGCAAGGAATATGAGTGTGAACGATGTACAGAAAACCAAGTTGCGAAATCACACAGATGATCAAGTAGTCGTGTACAAGCAGAGAGCACAATTGCACCGAGAATCCATCCAAATAGAGCAATACAATGAAGTAATGAGCCAATGTTCAAGCCCTCAGGCCACACCAACACAGTATCCAAAGTCGCTCCTCTCTGTCTGGCGCCCAGCGCCTAGCCTACTCTACTCGATTATCCTACCTACAGCTGTGTTCACGCAACAGGCTCACTTCGACTCTCGAAGACCAATGTACATGATGTCAACACCATAGCCGACCTCTCTTCATGCACCAGGTACGTATCTCGTCACCCTCATCAGACCTTGATAACCCGCACACTCGCCTCCTTCCCTGAAGACCACCAGATCGGCCTAGCAGCCCGGCTATGGCCGCCAGCGCACCACTGCCCTCCTGCGCAGGCCCGAATGCCTGGCCTGGGCTGCGTCTATTCCTATATGGAAGTGGCAGGCTCCTGGATGTTGCGTGTGCCCTGGCCGGAAGCTTCCAGTAGCTTCGTGTTGGGTTCCAGTACCTGCACCCAGGCCCAAGAGTACTGTTGAGGGCCTGGGCCCTTTACAGTTGGGCACGGCCTCATTATCCAGACTCGGGCTGTTCGATGCACTTGCACAGATCCCTGGGGTAGGTGCGCTGACAGTACCGCTTTTGCATAGGCCTGTGGCCACTTCAAGATGTATCGGCCCTGCTTTGTGTGTATGTGCCCAGGCTCAACTGCCAAGGCTTGGGCCAACTGTACGACGCAGCTTAGTGAGGCTTACACATCCACTCAACCGACTGGCGGGCTGCAACAGCCTGAATACCCATATATGACAATGTCGAGTTTTGGCCTCTGATGAATATTCAGGCCCGCCTTCACTTAGGGCGGGCACTTGGCTTGCTGGGGGCCTCTGCCCAGAACATGTGTTTGCCCGATAAGGAAGGGTATTGGTCCAGAAAAGTCCAGAGCTGGCAACTGTAGGCAGAACAAAATTCCAGCGGCGGCGAAGTGTGAACACAGTCTGCATTCATGCTTGGAGCAGAAGTACTCGTTTGGTCTTCTCAGTCAAGCAGTGAGTTAGGCTGGTCTTTTCAGTCAAGCAGTGAGTTAGGCTGACATAGTCTGTAGTTGGTGACGCCTTGCGCCATAGCTTAGTAGTGAGAGAGAGGGAGAGTGACATTGAGAGCAGAGGAAGACATTCAGACAGAGAGAGAGGCCTGAGGGTAGAGTAGGTAGAGAGGGTAAAGGGGAGACATACATGTTTGCAGTGTTTGTGGCTATAGCCAGCCGAATGTGCATGCGAGAGTTGGATGCAAGACTTGAATTTGCGAGCGATTTCCAAAGTGTTCACATCTCGTGTTGTGTGCATCGTGTGCGTGAAGCTGTGTGCTGAAGTGTGGTTGATGGCCGTGCTACAATGCAGCATTTCAGCATTTCAATCAAATTTCTCTGAGGCATTTTCTGTCTTCTTCTCTGTAATGTTTGTGGCCACCACTTTTGTGCAGATGCAGCGTGTGATATGGGAACTATTTGAGCTTATACCAAATCCCGCAGAGGCTGTTTCGGCATCAACAGAAGCTATAGCAGAGGTCATCCATTCGTTAGGTCTTCAGAACAAGCGAGCAAAGATGATCCAAAGGTTCTCTAAGGAGTACTTGCGTGATGACTGGACGGAAGTTACACAACTTCATGGAATTGGCAAGTGAGTATGCAGCCAGTAAGTTGGCAGTGACAAGATCTATACATGCCCATTCCTTTGTGTTGTCCAAGTCCAGTTGACGCCTTCTTTTGTCTAATGTTATGCTCCTTAGGTCTCCCCATGTTCTCCCCCTTCAGAAAACAATATTCCCATATTTCTCATCACTTGCATTGTGACAGAAGTCGCACAATGTCATGGAACTTCCAGGCGAGTCTGCATTGAGTGACCAGATTTATACATCCCCCATTACTTGTCGTCATTCACATCTGATCTCAGGTGATGTTTTTTTATGTCCTATTCACTCTTATGCAAGGAAGATGAGCAATAGCGAATTTCAGCAATCAAACAGCATCATACATACGAGTCCAGATAGTCGTGACCTCGAACCAACAGCAGAATTGCACCACGAGATTCAACAAATAAGAACACACCAAGAGTTCATAATTGACAATGCTGAAATAGTCCCATCATCATCAACGAAGAACCAGAGTTGATATCCTATCTGGCGCTCGACGCCCAGACTACATGTGGCAGATCCTATCTAGCCTACACTACGATGCCGAGGCCTTGGGCCTGAGGTGGTTGCATGTGCCCAACTGCCTTTGGCCTGTGTTTGGCCCAGTACCCATATCCAGCCCAGGGCCTGCTTCACATACATTCACACAGGCTGCCCAGGGCCTGGGTTCACTCAACCAACTGGCGCTGCGCAACGGCCTNATCCAGCCCAGGGCCTGCTTCACATACATTCACACAGGCTGCCCAGGGCCTGGGTTCACTCAACCAACTGGCGCTGCGCAACGGCCTGAATTTCCTGAGTTGCGTGGTGGCCAGAATAGGGCCCTGAGGGCCTCGTCAAGCCTGCCTTCACTTAGGGCGGCCGACGGGCTGCAAAAAGGGGGCCTTATGGGGCTCATAGAGGCAGTGGCCTTGCATTCCCTGCTCCTTAGCTTCAACAGTCCTCTGAGAAGCTCAGTCTTCAATCATGGGGCGCTTTCCCTTCTGCAGAGATTTCTCATAATGGGCTACAACTTGAGGAGCGGTCTGCATGAGTTCTTCCCTCGTGAACCAACGGTCCTCCTTGGGATCAGTATGATGTCTGAACCGAACGCGATACTGCAGCTTCGGTTTAGGGGGACGTCCCCTTCCTGCAGGTCTCTGAGCTGGCAGCTCCCTGTGATCCACGATGTCATCGATGTCCACTTCTCCATCCATGGTTGGGGGCAGCATTGAGCGACGAGAAGGAAACTCATCTGTTTCCTTGGAAGGTGCAAGCTTGGAGGCGTGAAAGACAGGGTAAGTTCAGAGATGACCAGGGATCCGGATAACATAAGATGGCCCATCCGGATCTGTCCCAACGATGTCCAAGACTTCCCAGGGTCCAAAGTACTGGGGCATGAGTTTGCGGGAAATCCCGTGTTCCAGACTCTGTCCCCAACCTGAAACGTGGAAGGACGGCGGTGTCTATTTTCAGACTCTATCATTGCAGCCTGTGCCTTCTGCATCTGTTCTACAGCCTTCTGCATCTTCTGTTCATACCGATAAGCAAATTCTAAGGTACCTGGTGCAGCAGTGGTCTGATTCTCAGGAAGAAGAAAGTCTAAGAGCAGTTTAGGCTTGAAAGTTAGCAGTAAGCTGTTTGGGCTCACCCCGGTGGCGCTGTGTACAGTGTTATCGTACAAGCTGGCGATGAGAGCAAGCTTCTCATCCCAGTCCACCTGATTGGGCTTGATCTAATGCCTCAACAGGTGTTGAACAGCACAGCTTAGTTGCTCGGCTTGGCCATTGGACTCTGGGTGATTCCCAGAAGTCATTTGCAACTGGGTCCCCTGTTCCGCAGCCGCGGCTTTCCACAACTCACTGGTAAATCGGACATCCCTGTCACTCACTATGGACTTGGGCAACCCAAAATCTCTAACCCAATTCTCTTTGAACATCTTAATGACATACTCCGTTTTAGCTGTTGCCGGCATCGCTACTAGTCTAGCAAACTTACTAAATCTATCCACAATGACGTAGGTATAGCGCATTCCACTCTTGCTGGTGATCAGAGTATCCATGAAATCCATTGACAGACTCTCACCAGGCCTTTCCGGAATCGGAAGGGGCTTCAGGAGCCCAAGAGGAGCCTGAGTATGTGGCTTGTCTCTTTGACATACCTGACAAGTCTCCACGTACAGTTGGGCGTCTCGCATCATCGTGGGCCACCAGAATCGCTGCAGCAAATTGGCTGTGGTCTTCTTATACCCAAAATGTCTGGTGGCGTCATGGCATTCACCTAAAAACAAACTACGCAAATACTCGCTATTAGGAACACACAATCGTTTATTCCCTGCCTTCTCAAGGAACAGAAAGCCATTGACCAATTCAAACTCGGCAGAGGTCTTCTTGTCCTTGGCCTGGAGTCTGCGTATGATCTCAGACATGAACTGGTCCTCGCGATAGGCTTCCACCAAGGACTGAGTAACATTGTCCGTCAGATCAAATTCAGTTATCAGCGCACCTGAGAAATCAGGTCTACACGACAAGGCATCCGCAACCTTGTTGTACTCCCCTTTCAGATATTGAGGGTCAAAGTCATATTGCTCAATGACTTCGATCCAACGCTTGAGAGCATCAGAGAGCACCGACTGAGTTCTCATCCATCTCAGGGTCTGATGATCAGTCCTGAGGATGAAGAACCTCCCAAGGAGATAGTGTCTCCAATGGGTCAGAGCGTTGTACACCGCATGGAGTTCCTTCTCATAGGTGGACTTAGCCAACTTCTGAGACGGCATTTTCTTGGACATGTACTCTACAGGCCTCAACTTTGGCCCCTCATGTTGCACGAGCACGGCGCCAATGCCATATTGGCTGGCATCCGTGGTGACTATAAACGGCTTATCCGGATCAGGAAGTTTCAAGACCTCGTAGTGCGTCAATGCATGCTTCAGATGTTTGAAAGCAGCCTCGCACTCATCTGTTCGTTCCCATGGGGTGTCAAGGCGGGTCAGATCAGTCAAAGGAGCGACCACTATGCTATAGTTCTTAACGAAAGTCCTATAGTAGCCTGTCATTCCTAAGAAAGATCTCATCTCAGTCACAGATTGAGGACGCGGCCAGTCACGAATGTTGGCCACCTTCGCGTCATCGGGCTTCAACCCTTCTGCGGAAATCTCATGACCCAAGTACAAGACACGGGTCCGGCCAAACTCGCACTTCTCACCGTTGATCTTGAACTTGTGCTGTCGCAGGAGACTAAGGACTTTGTCCAAGTGTGCAACATGCTCCTCGACAATCTTACTAAAAATAAGTACGTCATCGAGGTACACAATGACAAACTTATCCAAGTAGTCATGGAATATCCGATTCATAGCGTGCTGAAAGGTGTCAGGAGCATTGCAAAGGCCGAAAGGCATCACCACAAACTCGTACACACATGCACCCATAGGACTCAATCAGACTACTAGCTTTGAACTTATGTAATATGGCGGTCCCTCCACCTGGCAAAGTGTGTTTGACCACTTTTCGGTCCCAGTCAAACTGGGGCCGTGCCACAGAGAGGTAGTACATACCTAGTAACATATCCATTGGGAGCTCGTCACTCACTAGGAACGAGACGCGATGTCTCAATTCTCCTCCCGCGTACGGGAAACAACACTCAACATCCTGGAGGTAGTCGTTGAATACCATGCGCTGTTTGTTGGCACAGGTCGACTCAGGCGCTGCACTTGCCCCTGTAAACGCAGCCTCTCAACGCACGCGCGACTAATAAAGTTCCTTGTCGAGCAAGTGTCATAATAGGCCCCGGCCTTGCGGCCGCCAATGACAACCTCGCTGACGAACATCTCACCCTTAGGGGCTTTGACTAGGGCTGTCCAAGAATCTAGCGGGTCTGATCTAGACCACTCTACCTCTAACTCCTCTAAGGACTCAAACACATTCCTCAAACAGAGGCTCGATGGGTCTGAATGTGTTTGCGGGACGACGCTGGAGTCAGTAGCTTGGGCCATCTCTCGAGATGGTGAGGGTGTCTCCACCATCTCGACCCTAGCAGGAACGGTTAGTATTCCTACTGGCCCGACGTGTTTCCCAGCGCACTGCCTGAAGTACTGGCAACATTGCTACCAACGGGATGAGCGGATCCCAACACCTGCCCCATCGTAGGCGGGGTCTTATCGGTCACCTTCTTGTTGCGGCACTTGAACTGGTTATGGCCATATTGGCCACAACGAATACAGGCCTGCCGTGAGTTCCGATCTCTCCACAAATCCTCTGTGAGACCCGGTTTCTCCCATGGAGGAGCATTGGGGTCAACTTGACTCCTAGACCGGGAACCTCCACGGCGTCTACCGGTCGCCTTACCTTTTTGAGTCACGGCAACGACTACTCCACCCTCTGAAGCTTCTACGCTGCCCGCCTCTGAACCTACTCCTTCCTAGAAGTTTGTCTACTTTGATAGTAGAACCATTGTTGTCGACAAACATTAAGCGGCCCTTCGCCTTCCAGTTGGGAGGCAGTGTCTTCGTCCTCCCATCCGCAGTGGGTGCCTGTCCATGCCCTATCTTAGCCTCAAGGTCTAGGGCCATCTTGCTGAACGAAGGGAAGTTGTGCATATTGATGTTGGCCTGACTTGCCAACTGGTTCCTGAGAGGCAAAGAAAAGCATCTCAGGTGCGAGGTAAGCAGAACCTGGGGGTCATAGCGCACCCCTGGGACACAGATCAGACGCTCAACAGCATCGGTGGCTTCCCTTACTGACTTAAACTGCCGTGTGCGCAGTGTCAGGATCGCATCAGTGACCCTTTGAGCCTCCTAAGGATCGTGCCACCTTTCCTCCATCTTCAGGAAGTCCTCCAATTTCTGGGTGACCGCCCAAGCGCGGAAGTCATGACTATACCCCTGGAGCTGCACTAAACCACTCAACCATCTTGCTGCACTACCCTCTAGGTAGGAAGCAGCCACAAGCACTTCTTCGTGCGGCAAGGTAAGTTTACACCTGACATAGACTGGCACTGACCTCAACCACGTGTCGAGGTCTTTGCCTCTCCTGTCCCTGTAAAGGGTTTCAGAGCGGCAATGGCCGTCTTTGGAACCCACTGTGTTTGTCCCGGTCCCTGCATCACGGCGGGCTGTGGACCTTGTGACACAAGTCGTTGTGCTAGCTGCTGGGGCTATGTGCCCTGCGGCTGCACAGGCTGCGAGACAGCAGGCTGCGTGGTGACCGCAACCTGCAACGGAGATTGGGTGTACACTGTCTGTACAGGAACCTGCAAACTGGTCCCTGCTGATACCCCTCCTAAAAGCTGCATGCCCAGGGAAATGATCGCTACCGATGATGGGGCTACATATGGGGATACCCCAGTCACCGGCAGGACATAAGGAGGAGGATGTACAACGGGCCAGGCACCAGGCCCGAACATTGGTGACGTTGCTGGTGCTCGCCTAACCAACTGGGCCAGACTTTGCTGGATGTCGTGAAGGATGGTTGTTTGCTGGTCCTGCACCTCCACTACATTCAGCAGGACAGACCGGATGATCCTCACATCATCCGTTACGTGCGTCAGGTCCATCTCCTCTAACTCGCTAACGTCCGCTTCTCTCCGCTGCATCCTGGCTCTTCTTCTAATCATTCTTTCCTTCTTCACTTTTATCTGTCCTAATGCATGTTGTAGTTGTGCCTCTTTTAGAGCTGCCTCCTGTATGGCGATCTCATCGGAGGTCAACACCAATGCCTGGCTCGTCATTACGCCGGTGGACTGACTCTGGGTCTGCACGACCGTTGACCCGACGGACCCTAAACTACCGGCTTGAGAAGTCTGCTGCGCTGAAGTGGCCATGGCTTCCGAAGCTGTGGCCTCACTCACAAGTGCCCTGCTAGCCTCTGCTGCTCTAGCCCTCCTTTGCTGCTGCTGCCTCTCCCTAAGCTGGCGGAACAGATGTTTGTCGCCCTCTGGTCCTAATGCCAAGTGGGCTACTGGGCGCCTTGCCGATCGCAAGATCCGGTCGTCCGGTTGCTGTTCCTCCATATCACTCATAAGCTACAGCACTGTACACAATCTGCACTAATGCACTCTAAATGCCTACCGCAGCGTAGTGCACAGACCAACTAATTTGGTGGTTGCTATTTTGGAACAGATATCATTTGAAGTCAACAGGGAAGTCAGATTCCTACAAACAAAACTATTTTTAGTTTGACTAGTCCGCAAACAGAAGCACTATGAACAAGAAGCAGTTCTAACTAATGCTGTCTGCCAGATGTCAATGGCTGTACACCTAACTAATCAAAACATAAAAATAGAATCATTTGTGTGGATAGGACAGCATGGAATTTTTTTGAACTTATCACTTGGAATCAACCCCTCCCTTAGTTTCCCTGAGTATCTCATGACGTCAGCGTCCCTGAGCAATCCGGAGGCGTTGCGTGTCTAAAGGTGTGTCTGGCCCACCCCTGTGCCCCGAGTATCTGCTGAGCTGGCCAGCCCCGCACTGGATTATCCTCGCGTGCAGCGAGCCTTACAACCATTGGCTGATCCAGAGGCAATTTAACGTCCGCCCCCAAGTGACTCCAGGAATTCTTTTACGTCGCAGCCGGACGACGATCACAGCCAATGGTTCCCCTTCCGGTGCTTATTTAAAGACGCCCGGTCTCGTCTCCCTCAAGGGCTGGCCTGCCCAACAGTACCCATCTAACAGCGCAGCAAGCCGAACAAAGGACAAGCAACAAGGCATGCGTGCTCTACTCCCTGTGGGTTGGCATGGTGACCGTGACCCAGTGCTTCGTTTAGGGCCCTTCAGAAAGCTCCGCCCATCTTCTCCCAGATGCTCCACGTGAACATTGCCGACTCTCAAGGTTGAGCGCACTCGACACATCACAATGAGAGGACTCTCAAGAAGGAACACACAACCTCACGGTAAGAAGTGTCGGAGAGGGTAGATAAGGTTAAAAGCAACGTACCTCAAATAACTGCCCCCAACCACTGAGATAATCTCACCAGATGACCAAATGGCGATTGCGATGACCAGTCACTGCATCGGCACAACCAGCATTATCTCGCCGTTCCACCTCAGCATCAATCGCACATTAGATAGTTCTCATCACACTGTCCAGACCACATTAACACCACGTAGCCTTCCCTGGCGATCCCCTCACCTCCTGGGTCGCCACTCACTTGCCTCCGCCCTCCTCACTACACACCACTTACGGCCAAACTCGCCAAGCAGACCGCATGTATGTACCGCACCAGGCAGAAGACAAGCGCCAGATGAGCGCAAACGTACCACAACTCTGATACCAAATTGCAAGGAAGATGAGCAATAGCGAATTTCAGCAATCAAACAGCATCATACATATGAGTCCAGATAGTTGTGACCTCGAACCAACAGCAGAATTGCACCACGAGATTCACCAAATAAGAAACACACCAAGAGTTCATAATTGACAATGCTGAAATAGTCCCATCATCATCAACGAAGAACCAGAGTTGATATCCTATCTGGCGCTCAGCACCCAGACTACATGTGGCAGATCCTATCTAGCCTACACTACGATGCCGAAATGTGACGTCAACAGCTTTCCCGAAGTACGAGCATACAGCGACCAATGTCGCACGCTTCCAGCACCAGGTATGTCTCTCGTCACACTCACAACCTCGTTCCCCAACACACAGATGCCACTAGCACCCAAGGACCACCTTGCGCCACACCCAGCTCACAGCGGAGCAGCTCGGCTATGGCTGCCCGCTCCTTCCTGCTCGCCCGTGAGAGCGTGAGTGCCAGCCAGCAAATAGCGCAGCAGCGCTTGCGCAGCATGCAGCCAGCACCCGAATATCGAATACGGAGGCAGGCCCTTTGCTATATCGAAGTGGCCTGCCTGCGTCCAGTCCCAGGAAGCTTCCAGTAGGCCTCGGTAGCCTGAGGCCCAGCACGACGAAAACAGGCCTTGGGCCTGAGGTTGTTGCATGTGCCCAACTGCCTTTGGCCTGTGTTTGGCCCAGTACCCGTATCCAGCCCAGGGCCTGCTTCACATACATTCACACAGACGGCCTGAGGTGGTTGCATGTGCCCAACTGCCTTTGGCCTGTGTTTGGCCCAGTACCCGTATCCAGCCCAGGGCCTGCTTCACATACATTCACACAGGCTGCCCAGGGCCTGGGTTCACTCAACCAACTGGCGCTGCGCAACGGCCTGAATTTCNATCCAGCCCAGGGCCTGCTTCACATACATTCACACAGGCTGCCCAGGGCCTGGGTTCACTCAACCAACTGGCGCTGCGCAACGGCCTGAATTTCCCGAGTTGCGTGGTGGCCAGAATACGGCCCTGAGGGCCTCGTCGAGCCTGCCTTCACTTAGGGCGGCCGACGGGCTGCAAAAAGGGGGCCTTATGGGGCTCATAGAGGCAGTGGCCTCGCACTTATGCTTATTAACCCCCCCCATTCTGTTTCCTTGGGAAAATGATGTTTCCATATTCCTTGTCACGTTCATCATGACCGTTTGGCTCTCACTGCATTGGGGCTGTCATTCTTTGCATAGTCTTGCACCATTTTCCGCTTTCCATTTGGATCCATTATTATTAGCTTACAGAGAAGGTACCCAAATGACCATCGTCCCTGTTGATCACTGCTATCATTTATATAATAAAAAAAAGAACCTTACGGTTCTGGCTCCTTTCCATTCTGGGGAGCATCAGTCCGACAAGTCAGAAGAGATTACAATAGTTACTCGCACACGCTCCCCCCCATTATGGTCGGGAGGCCCGAGTGGACAGCATTGATTACTTCCTGAGGGAGTATACCACCCCTCACGCCTGCCTGAGTTAGCCTGCGAGACTTGACTTCTGGACCCGGATACTAGACTGCCTTCTGCTACCTCTGTTTACGGTTTGAAGCCTACCAGTGGAGGCCTTGTCTAGCTAGCTCCTTTCAGCAAGTTGGCTGTCAGATCCACTATTATTAGCTTACAGAGAAGGTACCCAAATGACCATCGTCCCTGTTGATCACTGCTATCATTTAAAAAAAAAAAAAAAGAACCTTACGGTTCTGGCTCCTTTCCATTCTGGGGAGCATCAGTCCGACAAGTCAGAAGAGATTACAATAGGTACTCGCACACGCTCCCCCGCATTATGGTCGGGAGGCCCGAGTGGACAGCATTGATTACTTCCTGAGGGAAGGATATACCACCCCTCACCCCTACCTGAGTTAGCCTGTGAGTCTTGACTTCTGGACTCGGATACTAGACTGGCTTCTGCTACCTCTGTTTACAGTTTGAAGCCTACCAGTGGAGGCCTTGTCTAGCTAGCTCCTTTCAGCAAGTTGGCTGTCAGATCTGCATTAGAACCTGGAGTTGCTTGCTTGTCCCATTAACTGACCATCTTGCTAAAAAACTAAACCCTATGGGTGGTAAGATTGAAATTTCTCGTCCTTCAGGACATCCGTTAAAATTGGAACGATACAGAGAAGATTAGCATGGCCCCTGCGCAAGGATGACACACATAAATCGAGGGGGGGGGGGGGAAAGAAATTTAAAAGATTGAAATTTCTCTGAATTTAGGATCTATGACGTCACTGAAACCCTTTCTACCTCTTCCTTTTTCTTCTCTTTTTTTTTTTTTAAGTTTATGAATTATGCTTATTGTAATGAACCCAGTCTGGCAGATACTAATCAGACGTCAAAGCACAAGTAGTCTCAGATCTGCACAAAGTCTCCAGTTAACGTGAAGTGGTATCTGAAACAGTATCTCGTTACCATTAGACGAAGAGAGTGGAGGGGGAATAGACAGAGGAGAAGGTGGAAGAGATAAACAATGATCACACAAGAGTAATCCAATCAAACCCCACTTCTTCTCCGGGCTTCCTCTCGCCTCCACGTCATCAGCCAGTATACGATAACAAGTATGATAAGTCCTGATCACCCAGAAGTGCCACGTGGCACTCTTATCTCGTGAAGACCATGAAGACAACAGCAGATTACGGTAATGACGTCAACCTCAGGCGAGTACCCGATCCCAATCATCCACAGATCCCGATCTTCCCCCTTGTCGCAACCAGTCCTTATGTAAACAGCGTGGCCAATGCCACGTCAGATGTAGAGACAGGTGGCATGCGCCACATCATCAATGAAGACAGATGGTAGCGCCACATCAGCAACACAATGTAGACAGGTGGCAGCGCCACATCAGTAATGTAGGTAAGTGGCATGCGGCAAATCAACAATGTAGACCAGTGGCATGCGCCACATCCGCACAATGTAGACAGGTGGCAGCGCCACATCAGTAATGTAGATAAGTGGCATGTGCCAAATCAACAATGTAGACCAGTGTCATGCGCCACATCAGCAATGTAGACAAGTGGCATGCGCCACATTAGCAATGCCTGGTGCATAGAACAGAAGCGTCAGCATTCTGCCATAGTCCCGCGTCGTCGTCCACAGTGCCTGCGCACAGCCAGCATCTCGCCAGCGTCGAGCCAGCTTCAATGCCAACGTCCAGCCAGAGTCGAGCCAGCGTCAAAGCAGCATAGCCAGACTGAATGTTGACTACCCGGAGACCCAGCCTTATGTAGTATTTGTCGAGGTTGTCTGGCCTCAGGCCTTTTCCACAGTCGTGCAGATTGACTCACAGCTGAGCGCCTGGATTGTATAATTGCAGATTTTCCCCTTGGTCCTGATGCTGTCTGGGTACCTGCATGCAAACAAGTGTGTGCGTTTGACCGGCGGCCTGGGCTGGGTACACTTTGACTTTGACTGTTGGATGTTCGACAGTTGACTTGGTTTTCAAGCCCTGCATTTTTACGTAGTGTTCTTTTTTCCCCCTCCGGCCCGGGTCTGAGTGTGGCCAGGCAAGGCCCTCATACAATCTACGAGACATGGCATGGGTTATTGCATTCCCGCCGGCCCAATTTTCAAGTTCCATCGGAGAAAAGACATCAACTTGGCTTTAACCCACGTTCGTATGCAGCAACAATGTCAGGAGCAGTAGGTAAGAGTTCTTTCTTACTAAACCATTTGGCTTCAAACAGCGGTTGAGACTTGAAATGTACCTATACTGCTTCTGTGGTCTTCGTTTGCCA